TATATATATATATATATATATATATGTGTGTGTGTGTGTATATGTATATGTATATATATACATATATATATATATATTACATACATACATACATACATACATACATACATACATACGTACATATTAGAAGGAGCCCTCTGATAAGCCAAACATGCCAAAAAGAGTCAGCAGGCAATTCAAAAGTTTGGACTATGTTGACTGTGAGCAGATACTGTGTGAGCCCTTTTCAGAGGTGGAAATTTGCTGCTTTCTTTTTGGCTGTTTTCTTCTTTGCTGTGGATTTCCTAAGCACATGTGCAGTGATGTGGATGGAAAGAGCATATACCCATAGACAATCAAAGACTCTTTCCTATGTGCTCTGGCAGATGAGTTTCCTCATCTGAGTCCCTTCCCAAGCACATTCTTCTTTAGCTAATATTAGCACTATTTACAGGCCATGTCTAACTTGACAACAGCAGAGAAATTAATCAGAGTTTTATAAACCCACCTCTTTTTAAATGGAAATTTATATGTAAATAGGGAGGTTTACCATGAAATTATTTGGATTAAAAGGTACATATTGTGAACTACATGTGTATTCTTGTCTTTCCATTGTATGAGAAGCTGGTCTGGCTGTAGTGAATCTGGAAACTGAAACCCATGCTAATATGTGTGTGTGTACAGTGATTTACTGCCCTTCACATCTAAACTACAGCAAGGACATTTTGGTGGATAATGTAGATACTTATGAAAGACTCATCACAGAATATGTGATAATATGTATTCCCTATAACATATTTTTACAAAAACAGATCAATATAGAAAACTCAGAATTTAGTGTGATCACACTGTCCCAAGGCATAAAGTTACAAATGTAAGTAAGTGGCATTGGAGAAAAGGGACAGAACCTAAACAACAACATAGCCTTAAACAAATATGTTTAATAGATGTCATACTACATATAGAGCTTATCACCCGCCCACCTGCAAAGAAAACTGTGTGCACTTCTCTGTTGGAGGAGAACTAAGCTCCTCAGTAACCAAACTATAGTCATGATGAACTGCATGGTGAGAGTTCTGTAGCTGGGATGAACTGTGTGGTGAGTTCTGTAGTTGTGGTGAACTGTGTGGTGAGTTCTGTAGTTGGGATGAACTGTGTGGTGAGTTCTGTAGTTGTGGTGAACTGTGTGGAGACTTCTGTGGTTGGGATGAACTGTGTGGTGAATTCTGTAGTTGTGATGAACTGTGTGGTGAGTTCTGTAGTTGTGGTGAACTGTGTGGTGAGTTCTGTAGTTGTGGTGAACTGTGTGGTGAGTTCTGTGGTTGGGATGCACTGTGTGGTGAGTTCTGTAGTTGTGGTGAACTGTGTGGTGAGTTCTGTGGTTGTGATGAACTGTGTAGTGAGTTCTGTAGTTGTGGTGAACTGTGTGGTGAGTTCTGTGGTTGTGATGAGCTGTGTGGTGAGTTCTGTAGTTGTGGTGAACTGTGTGGTGAGTTCTGTAGTTGAGATGAGCTGTGTGGTGAGTTCTGTAGTTGGGATGCACTGTGTGGTGAGTTCTGTGGTTGTGGTGAACTGTGTGGTGAGTTCTGTGGTTGTGATGAGCTGTGTGGTGAGTTCTGTAGTTGTGGTGAACTGTGTGGAGAGTTCTGTAGTAGTGATGAACTGTGTGGTGAGTTCTGTGGTTGGGATGAACTGTGTGGTGAGTTCTGTAGTTGGGATGAGCTGTGTGGTGAGTTCTGTAGTAGTGATGAACTGCATGGCTCTTTTTGCAGTTGTCTCAGTGCAGCCCGGAAACTCCCACAGGCAGTCCATTTCAGAGCTACCATGAAGAGGACTGTTTTGTGACTGATGGGACAGGACTAAAAGCTGAAGAATGTATTGAGCATATAACTAACAATTTTAAAAAGATAGATGCCCTAATATCTGAATTTTAGGGTATTATTCAAGTATTTCCAAAAACTAATTATAAAAACACTAACAAACTTTATATTTTCCTGTTGAACATTTAAAAATGTTTAGTGAAATAAGCATACAAAATTAACATTTGTTGTAAATTTATACTTTGTGAATATCCATAGCTTTGGAGCCTATCAAGTGACATTTAAGTTAGAATTTTAGGGCTTAAAAAATCCTGATGTTTGTATTTATGGTCTTTTTTGTTTGCTTTGATTTTAGAATTATTTATGAAACTTATAAACAGGTGCTGTACGATAAGTATTCAGGCCCTTCTTCAAATGTGACTATTAAAATGGTTGCCTGTTCTGTTATCTACCAGTCTCAGAGAGAACTCAAATGTAACACATGTAGAAAGTGTTTTTGTAGTTGTCTGGAATGTTTTAATTTATAAGGAAATATTTAAAATGTAGTTATATAATAAAGTTTGAGAATAAAAGACAAAATGTCAGTTGTCTCGTTGTACTGCAAACAGGTATTGTTATTCAACATGGTTCCCATTGGGATATCAGAGTCCCGGACACTTCCCTGTGGACCCTGTCTCTATACGTGAGGTAGGGAACGTGTAGCTGACACACAACAAGAACGTTTACACTTCATCTGTATGAAATACCCAGTGGTATGGAGGAGTAAAATGTGTATCATTCCTCAAGGATTCCACAAACAGTTTCAGTGGATGTCTTTATTTGAAGACAAGATGGTAGGCTACCTGAAGAAGATAAAGCCACAGACCAACAGAGAGGTTAGTGTTAACATAGGTCCACAGAAAAGAGCTGACACAAAATTAACCTCAGAATGAGCTTCCTTAGGAGAGAGCCTCCAACCGTGGCCAACCGTGAGCAGGCCTTGAAGAAGGAGAGCTCCGGGAAAGCAGCTGCATGCTGTCACTCTGAAAGGACAGACAGAAGGGCCCTTCAGGACCAGAGGACAAAGGCTCTGACTCACAGATACTGAGGCAAGTGGGCACAATTCAGGAAGGCACTGATAAAGACTGTAAGTTAAGGCCATCCCTGGCCTGAGAAGTGGGCGCTCAGCCTGCTAGTGGAGGGTGACTGACTGCAGGGGCATAGCACAGCCTGCCTTCTTACCAACTCTCCTCACTAGAGAGAACCGCAGGGAGGGGTGTGGCCTGACTGAGAGAAATGGGAACAAGAAAGTAACCTTAGTAAGTGGAGGGCCAGGAGAGTGGGTGTGAAGGGAGTTAAGGATGTACCAAGCAGGCAGGGTCTGTTCAAGGAAGACCTTGACATCACAGCAAAGGGCAGCGCTCCATGTGCAGGCGATTCAGTATGGCTGGAATTAAACACCCAAACTGAGAGTAGGGACCAACTTGGAATGAGACCATTCTGAGACTGGCAGGCATGAGGGGGGCAGCAGCCAGACGTTCCTGTGCCAGCCTGTGCCCCGGTGTCTGAGGGAATCCATGGCCCTGATGTTAGCTCAGCTTGTCAGCCTCCACATCAAGAGCCTTAGGGTTGCCAGCAGGCAGCCAGCACTGGCAGGTTAGGTGTCTGAGAAAGTCTTATTAAACTCTCAGCTGCCTGGGAACAATGCACCACAGTAACAGAGTTTTAAATGCCAAAGGTCTCCGCCTGTCAGGGATGTTACAGGTAGATACTTCTATTTGTCCCCCATGAAAGCTTAATATCATTTCCGTCTGTTCAAGTCAACTTATGGCCCTCATTACTTCAAGTTCGTGGTGTGGCTGGAGCAGCCTCCTTTATTCTCTCTGCTCTCAGAATCTTGTCGGTGAGGAGCTAATGCATTTTTAACCAACTCGAGCAACTGAAAGGTCTGGTCTGCACTGCATCCAGGCAGCTGCTGCTCAGTGTCCGAGAGCAGTGGCCACGCCAGGGAACGCCCATGCTCCATGTGGATTCTACCAGTGAGGGCCAGATGTGTTTCCACTTTATGACCTTCACAGGCTATGGCAAGGTCCCTGATTTGCATGTTGATAGTTACCACTTTTATATTGATTTGACATTTCCTGCCAATCTAGTAGGGTCACCTTGGGTGTGAACCTATGGTGACACTTGTTTGTTTGATTTTAATGAGCCTTACTTATGTATGTGGTCAGTTTCAAATCTGCTTGGCATGGCTCCACTGACATTTCTAGCCTCCCTCGAGTGTCTGGGAAGCAGACAGCTGCTTGGTGACCTAGAGCGTTCCTAGGTGGGGAATTCAGGGAAATTTGACTCTGCTTCATGTTTCACTTTTCTTTTTGCCCCAGGCTAGCCCAGGCTTGTCCTCATGTAGACAGTAGAGCAACCAGAACAAGAAAGAGCCTCACTGCTAGGTAGCTATTACCAGGCTTGGAGGACAGGAGGCTAGACCCCTTTCCCTCATAATTGACAGGATGTAAAGCCAAAGGCTGGAGCAGCAGAGTTCTAATTGCTATCTTGGGTTTTGGAGGATATGTGACATCCTCAGCTACCTAGAGGTCATTAATACATAACTAAACCCGGCTCTGGAGCTCCAGATTTTACAAGCTTTCCATCTAGCAGTAGGCTTTGTGACTCAAGGACAAGAACATAAGATGATTTCTCCTTCTGTTAGAATCAATCCAAATGGGCCTGTCAATCACCAGGACAAAGTGATGTTCCCAAGAGCTGCTTGTTCTAGAAACCTAAGTAGTAGTATAAAACCTGCCTCAGATGTAGATCAGCACAGTGTCCCTGTCTTAGCTAGGGTTTCTGTTGCTGTGAAAAGACACCATGACCATGGCAACTCTTATAAGGAAACAATTTAATTGGGGTGGCTCGCTTGGGGTAGCTCGCTTGAAGTTTCAGAGGTTCAGTCCATTATCATCATGGCAGGGAGCAAGGCAGCCTGCAGGCAGATATGGTGTTGGCTACCTCTTGGCTAGCAGGGAACAGGAAATCAACTGAGAGTCACAGTGAGGGAAGCTTAAGCAAAAGAGACCTCCAGGGCTCCCCCCTCAGTGACACACTTCCTGCAAGAAGGCCATTCCTCCTAACAGTGCCGCTCCCTTTGGGACCATTTCCTTTCAGGTCACACATCCATCTTACCCTTGAGAAAGTGCTCACGTTACTCTCATCTGTCTTCTATATGTCCTCTACACGACACTGAGTCCCATCTACATCATGATGAGCATAAAGATCAGGGAGTGGAGGAGAGTCCAGAGGAAGACCCCAGTGACAGAGGAAGACCCCACACAAGGGAGGCTGCCTCTGCTCTCATCCCCTTTGCTGTCATCCTCTTATTCGATAAGTCACAGAGCTCATACCTGTTAGATGGAGATGTGCCACCAAAGAGCATGGATACAAATGCAGGTAGGCCATCTGCCAGTTCGCTCATTGAAGAAGAGAATGCTTCAATATGAAAGTGACAGTCATGTACAGTCTTATGAAACAGTAGGTAAATTGCTGTTGGTATTTGAAAAATCCTTACCAACTTATTTTCAGGTACTTTTAACAGCATTTATGAATTGATAGCCAAATAAAGGTCTCTATTGCCTCTTCTTTTGCTTCTTAACTGTTAGTATAGATATTTGCATACTATAAAATTGTCCTGCAACACTATTTTACTAATTACCTGGTATTTCATTCCCATTACATTCACACAATGAATCACCCTCTTAGTGAAAATTTAAATAGTTTCTATATTTTCACAATTTATAAACCACTTTTGCACAAAAATCCATATTCAATCCTTGCATGCATCTACGCATTTGTTACTAATCTTTTTTGGAAAACCGATGGGCCAGTACAATTTTAGAGTTATTTGTGATCACTTGTGATTCATCAGTTAAATCAGATGTGATGGTTTCATCTGTTTCTGAGCAAAGTGATGATTTAGGAGATGGGCATGGTTTTTGTTGTTTGTTGTTGTTGCTAATTCCTTAAAGAGTGGTCAAGATGAGCAAAAATGGACATTAGCATAGTTCATAGACAACTGTGATATAAAGCTAGTAAATTGGATGGTCAACAGGGATGAAATAAAGTTAGCAGAAATGACACATCTCTTGCTTTAGTTCTGACATGTATTTTCAGTGAATCACTTTGAAGAAATACTAGTGGAGAGCCATTGCTTTGTGAGACATTTTGGTGGAATGGTGGAATTTTGGAATCTTTGCATTTGGGTGTAGATGGGGAAATAGTACTTTAGAGAGTGATGTCACTCTACTGACTCCTTTGATTGAGGTGATTATGCCTTTTGTCTCCTGTGTTATGAGCCTGAGTGTTTAATATTAGACTCCACCTCTCCTGGGCTACATTGTTCATTTTTATAATGACAGTGTAACATCTGTTATTTAATCCATGAACATGCTTGTTTAGTGTTTTTGTAGTTTCTGGCTTTGGGTACTGGTCCTTTCCTTTGTTAGGGTTGGAAGGTATGACCCCTCTCCTAACTGTGGAGCCAGCACCCCAGTAGCAAAAGCAAGCTGGCAGAAGAATAACACAACTTGTATATTTATCACAGTTTTATATGATCAAGGAGCTTCCAGAATGAAGAGCCAAAAGTCCTGGGAAAACTGCCTATTTTTTATGCTTAGATCTAGTGAAGAATGCCACCAGGTGGAAACATGGTTAGACAGGTGTGTGATCTAACGGTAATGGCAGCATGGCAGGGGCAACAAGCCTCTGTATACACACTTCCTGGCCTCTCTGAGCAGTCTTCTGGGTTTGAGACAGGGCCTTCTCTAGAGTATAAGCCTCATGATCTACTCCAGAAAGAAGGTTTTCATGGCCAACTCTTTCACAGAGAACAGAGGCTGTTGGGATCATACATTTAATGCTTAAAGCTGGCTTTGAGGAGAAGGTATTCAGGTCCACTCTGGGAAGAGGGATTCTGGTCTCTACTGCTTACCTGGAGAGAGAATAAGAAATGAGAGATGGGTTCAGGAGGTCTGAGAAACACTTTACTTCTGGGGCTGCTTCCCAAGCTCTCCAAGTCACTGTTCTATTGCTGTGAGGAGACACCTGGACCAAGGCAACTCATAATAAGAAAGCATTTAATTGGGGCCTTCTTATAGTTTCAGAGGCTTAGTTCATTATCACCATTCCAGGGAAGATGGTGATGGAGCAGTAGTTGGGAACTACATCTTGATCTCAGGTGGTGAGACAGGGGCAGGGAGTGGGGGGTGGGTGGCAGGCAGGTAGGCAGGCAGTCAGACATTGGGCCTGGCTTGGCTTTTGAAACTTCAGAGCCCACCACCAGTAACAAACTTCCTCTAACAAAGTTATACCTACCCGAACAAGGCCATACCTCTTAATCCTTATTCCTTAAAATAGTTCCACTCTCTGGCAACTAGGCATTCAAAGATATGAGCCAATGGAGTTACTCTTATTCAAACAACCACACAAACCTTTATCTCAGGGTTTTATTTTCTGAGCCACAGTCCCATCCCTTGCCCAATATATTGCAAGTGTTTCTCAAAATCTTTATTGATGGAGATCTTGAGGTGGGAAGACACACCTTTAATCTGGGCCACACCTTCTGCTGGAAGCCTATATAAGGAGATGAAGGAAGGAAT